TGCAGCCATGCGCTTGAGAAATGCGATATCTCAAACCCTGTGTACACAATACGATTTGTCGCATGGTGATGTGGTTAAGGGGGTTTTACGCCTGCCAGTATTTGATGATAATAAAACTCCGTCATTGGTTTCACCTGCATAAATATAAAATCTTCCTTCTTAATCATGTACAAGAAGTTAAGAAGGAGTTTCACGTAATAATAGACGGGTTACGGTCAGAGAAATCACCGTGACAGCATCAGTTCATGCCGACGGCAACATCCATTCACGTCTTCGGTAACAAAGACTGTCAGTGTTTAACCCCTCAGGCCCGGCTCTGACCGGCTGGTAGGCGCTAGGACGTTTACAGGTATGAAATACTTGGGTTAATGTCATTACCTTATCTTACGTAATACTTGCAGTTAGTGGGTCAATGACGTTCTGATAAATGGCCATGAACCCTGTGGCCATTAAACTCCTGACAGCGAATCGACGTCGCGTAATGGGAGATTGCCTAAAAGTCGGGCCGGGCCGGGCCGGGCCGGGCCGGGCCAAAGTTGTATTGGCTAATTACTCCATTATCGGCGACCATACCTACATGTCATTGATGCAACACACACACATGACATTAATGAACAATCATCAACCAAGAACGTGCACCATAATTAAGTGATTCGGAGTAAATAGCTTGAAAACCAGAAAGTGGAGCTGTGTGTAAGCGTCGCCGATCTAGGTAACATGTAAAAGGGCAATCGTTAAACGAAATAGGATTTGAAACGTATCAAATACTTCTAGCTATCGTGATACAAATTTCCATCTGTCGGCATAGCGTTTACATTGATAGGACAGTACTTTTTCTAAGTAAATACCACTTAATAATGTCACTGTTTATCGTATTTAAAGCAGACACGTTGGTTAAAGTAGACCTCTTCTCCCCATACTCTCAACAGTCTCACAAGTGTTCGGTCCGACTTGGCCCGGGCTGTCAAAATCAACTTTAAACACAGAGATGTATCATCAAATGTGTTTACATCTATAGAGTAGGATTATATCTACCTATACCACTTTATAATGTCACAGTACATCGCATTGAAAGAAAACCGATCCGTTAAAGTCAAACACTTTTACTGTATTTTCTTAAGAAAATCTATGTCAGAAGTGTTGTGTCCGACTTGGACCAGGCTGTCAAAATCAACTTTAAACACACAGATGTATCATTAAATGGTTTCACATCTTTCAACTAGTATAATATCTACCTATATATCACAGATCGCGGTATTTAAAGAAAACAAGGAAGCTCTTGTCCCTCTACATTCTCAACAAAGTCTCCATCTAAAGTGTTTGGCTTGTGTTGGGTCCGACTTGGCCCGGGCTGTCAAAATCAACTTTAAACACACAGATGTAATATCAAAAGTGTTTACATCTATAGACAAGTATTATATCTACCTATATACCACTTTATAATGGCACAGTACATCGCATTGATAGAAAACTGATCCGTTAAAGTCAAACACTTTTACTGTATTTTCTTAAGAAAATCTTTGTCAGAAGTGTTCGTTCCGACTAGGCTGTCAAAATCAACTAAACCTCACAGATGTAACAGCAAATGGTTTCACATCTTTCAACTAGTATAATATCTACCTATATATCACTTTGTAGTGTCACAGATCGCGGTATTTAAAGAAAACAAGGAAGCTCTTGTCCCTCTACATTCTCAACATAGTCTCCATCTAAAGTGTTTGGCTTGTGTTGGGTCCGACTTGGTCCGGGCTGTCAAAATCAACTTTAAAGACACAGATGTATCATCAAATGTGTTTACATCTATAGATTAGTATTATATATTCCTTTATACTACTTTATAATGGCACAGATAGCGGTATTTAAAGAGAGTAAGGAGCTCAAAGTGAAGCCCTTTTCCCTCTACATTCTGAACATAGACTCTATCAGAAGTGTTTGGCTCAATTCTCATATTGTTTCCACATCATAATAATACACTTGTTTTAAAATACACTTGTTATAATGTGCCTTCTCTGTATGTTGAATGTACTTATGTGTTTTGCACTTATTGTGCATATATATTTGTAGTTTGTTATAGTGTAATATTGCCACTGTTTCTTCATGGAATGTTACGCAATACATATCTCATCTTCAACATCTTTGTTGTATGATAGTTTGTTACAGTTGTGTACGGGGCCACGGTTGGCCAAAGTCGCCTTATGCGCCGCAATTCGCTATGCAGAGTGGTGTCCCTTGGGCACGCCAGAAACCTAGGACAGTGTGTTACAATCCCGGCTCGGCCCGATTATGTTGTCAGCACTATACCCGTGCTCATGGGTATCACCAAAGTGGTGAACGTCTAATACCTGCATCACTTCGGGCTTTCCTTCCACATCAAGCTGACACGCCATGATATAACTGGAATTATACCATTCAAAGCGGCGTTAAACCAAACTCACTCACTCACTCACTCACTACTCGTGTGTACGGTTCCGTTTGGTTAACTGGGTTTGTGGTTTGTGTTCCGGCTTAAATTTGAAGTATGTTTAGAAGAATGTTACTATGTTCAAGCCAAACGTCCTGAATATATCATGCAACCGAATTATTTTTAGGAGAATAATTGCAAACTAAGGGCCAACATATTGATTTCCAATGTATCCAGAGGCAAAGAACTTGTACGGGTGTATTATCTCTGCAGGAAGTAAAAGCAACTGACAACTTATTACAAATATCTGATATCAAACCCGTTGTTTTGCATGTGTTGTTTATTGAACAAAGTCATGCTTCATAGAAGCCTGGTATTTAATCGTGTTGAACAATAAGTTGCAATAGCAGTGTGAAGGGAGAACAACTGAGTGCGCGTTACATGCTTGACCTTAAATCCTCCCTGGAACCATTCTCGCTGGCTGCCTGAATAACATACGATACATTGCAAAGGTAGTGCGCATAGGGGTATTCGGGTAAGGGAGATACTCACTCACTCACTCTCAGTGATACAGCTTGAACAAGATACAATGTACAGCATTGCAAGGTCACGCGTGATAAAGCTCTATACTGCGCATACAGCTAAAGGAGATAATCGCTCAATGCGTAATAGGTAGATTTGTTAGTAAATTTATTGAACCTAATAAAGTGGATATATTTAATTTGATATCATAGATACAAATATGAAATTTTGGATTCCGATAGTCACATGTTGTCGTTGTACAAAGGCATTGAAAACTGTTCGTTGTCATGTCACATAAGGCCACAAGGGTGCGCTGAACTCAGTATCTCGTGTAACCGCACTTGGCAGCAATCTCGGCTCAATCACCAGCTGTCAATATACAAAACAGAATAATACATCAAGATGACAGTTTTCATGTAAAGATTAAGTATTTCTAAGCAAATTAAAGATACATATATCTAGATATTGTACAAATCTTTAAGTTGCTTAGAAATACTTAAACTTTACATGGAAACTGCCATCTTGATGTATTATAATGTATTATATATTGACAGCTTGTGATTAATTGTTACCAGATGGCTCCAGCTGGGGTCGCAGACGACACACTTTCCAACAATGGGAAACAGGGTAAAAATATGAGTAGGCTGGTTATCATCAACCTTATTTAATGTTAATCCAACAATTTATCATATACTTAGCAGTGGGATATTCTGTTAATAATCTCTCATAATTCTATTGAATGGTTCTGTACATTCTATCATTTTTTTTTGTACAAAGCTGTTTTATGTATGTACAGAAGTGAGACATTAATAAATTACTGTCTGTCTGTCTGTCTGTCTACAATGTATACCGTACAATTAAACCGATTACACACAGGAGCTTCACTTTGAGCTCCTTGTTTTCTTTAAATACCGCGATCTGAGACACTATAAAGTGGTATATAGGTAGACATAATACTTGTCTATAGACGTAAACACATTTGATGATACATCTGTTTGTTTAAAGTTGATTTTGACAACCCGGGCCAGGTCGGACCCAACACAAGCCAAACACTTCTGATAGAGACTATGTTGAGAATGTAGAGGGAAAAGGGCTTCACTTTGAGCACCTTGTTTTCTTTAAATGCGATGTACCGTGACATTATAAATTTGTATACAGGTAGATATAATACTAATCAATAGATGTAAACATATTTGAATATACATCTGTGATGTTTAAGTTGATTTTGACAGCCCGGGTCGGACACAACACTTCTGACAGAGATTTTCTTAAGAAAATACAATAAACGTGCTTGACTTTAACGGACCAGTTTTCTTTAAATGCGAGGTACTGTGACATTATAAAGTGGTATATAGGTAGATATAATACTAGTCTGTAGATATAAATACATTTGATGATATATTTGTCTGATCACCTTGCCACCTCTACCCCCCCCCCCCCCCCCCCGATCACCATGCCACCTCTACTCCCCCTGATCACCATGCCATCTCTACTCCCCATCCCCTGATCACCATGCCACCTCTATCCCCCCTGATCACCATGTCACCTCTACTCCCCCCCGATCACCATGCCACCTCTACCCCCCCTGATCACCATGCCACCTCTACTCCCCCTGATCACCATGCCACCTCTACTCCCCCTGATCACCATGCCATCTCTACTCCCCATCCCCTGATCACCATGCCACCTCTATCCCCCCTGATCACCATGTCACCTCTACTCCCCCCCGATCACCATGCCACCTCTACCCCCCCTGATCACCATGCCACCTCTACTCCCCCTGATCACCTTGACACCTCTACCCCCCCGATCACCATGCCACCTCTACCCCCCCCCCCCCCCCCCCTGATCACCTGGCCACCTCTACCCCCCCTGATCACCTTGCCACCTCTACTCCCCCTGATCACCATGCCACCTCTACTCCCCTGATCACCTTGCCACCTCTACCCCCCCGGTCACCATGCCACCTCTACTCCCCCCTGATCGCCATGCCACCTCTACTCCCCCTGATTACCTTGCCATCTCTACACACACCCCGATCACCATGCCACCTCTACCCCCCCCCCCCCCGATCACCATGCCACCTCTACCCCCCCTGATCACCATGCCACCTCTACTCCCCCTGATCACCATGCCACCTCTACTCCCCCTGATCGCCATGCCATCTCTACTCCCCCTGATCGCCATGCCACCTCTACTCCCCCTGATCACCATGCCACCTCTACTCCCCCTGATCACCATGCCACCTCTACCCCCCCTGATCACCATGCCACCTCTACTCCCCCTGATCACCATGCCACCTCTACTCCCCCTGATCGCCATGCCATCTCTACTCCCCCTGATCGCCATGCCACCTCTACTCCCCCTGATCGCCATGCCACCTCTACTCCCCCTGATCACCATGCCACCTCTACTCCCCCTGATCACCATGCCACCTCTACTCCCCCTGATCACCATGCCACCTCTACTCCCCCTGATCGCCATGCCACCTCTACTCCCCCTGATCGCCATGCCACCTCTACTCCCCCTGATCGCCATGCCACCTCTACTCCCCCCGATCACCATGCCACCTCTACTCCCCCTGATCACCATGCCACCTCTACTCCCCCCGATCACCATGCCACCTCTACTCCCCCAGATCGCCATGCCACCTCTACTCCCCCTGATCGCCATGCCACCTCTACTCCCCCTGATCACCATGCCACCTCTACTCCCCCTGATCACCATGCCACCTCTACTCCCCCTGATCACCATGCCACATCTACTCCCCCTGATCGCCATGCCACCTCTACTCCCCCTGATCGCCATGCCACCTCTACTCCCCCTGATCGCCATGCCACCTCTACTCCCCCTGATCGCCATGCCACCTCTACTCCCCCTGATCGCCATGCCACCTCTACTCCCCCTGATCGCCATGCCACCTCTACTCCCCCTGATCGCCATGCCACCTCTACTCCCCCTGATCACCATGCCACCTCTACTCCCCCTGATCACCATGCCACCTCTACTCCCCCTGATCACCATTGCCCCATTACTGCGATTTCCTGCAAGGGATTCGGTATGAAGCACTCTTTTGAAATGTTGTAATGATCACTGCACAAAAGACCTCATTTTCAGAAATACTTCCCCTCACATCATTAAATTTATCATTACACGGCGGTCTGACACGTTGTCAGATATGATAGAAAGTGCCCAGGTAGAAGCGGACATTCACAATCTGTCTGGTAAGGAGGGTATTTGGTTTGTCATTTCGTCCCTCAAGGTTTAGCTTGGCAGAATATTTGAGGAACAGTCTAACAAATCATTCCTCGCAGCACCCCCTCCCCTACCATTGACATTCCCCGACCCACCCCAGTGCACCCTGTACACGCACACCCACACAAGTGCGTCCGCTGTGGACTGTATCATCTGACCCCTCAGGAGTGTCGCCTGACCCCTCCCTCAGTTGTACCTCTCCTCGCCATGCAGTACATGCTTGTCCTTAGAGGCGACTAACGGGATCGGGTGGTCAGGCTCGCTGACGTGGTTGATGCATGCCATCGACCCCAATTGCGTAGATCGATGCTCATGATATTAATCATTCGATTATCTCGTCCATACTCGATTATTTACAGACCGCCATCATATAGCTGGAATATTGCTGAGTGCGGCGTTACACAACAAACCAATGCAGTACACCATGCAGTACATGCTTTCACTGTGAATGTCTTCACTTTAAACCTTGTATTCTGTCTCTTGTTGCATACGACCCGTGAAGATCCGGCGTAGAACAGGTCTAATATGTATAATGATAGGTATAGGAAGAATAGCCCATGCTTGCAGATAGAGGCGACTATGCTTGTCGTAATAAAGCGACTGACGGGCTCAGGCTCATTGAGTGAGTGAGTGAGTGAGTATGGTTTTACGCCGCTTTTAGCAATATTCCAGCAATATCACGGCGGGGGACACCGGAAATGGGTTTCACACATTGTACCCATGTCGGGAATCGAACCCGGGTCTTCGGCGTGACGAGCGAACGCTTTAACCACTGGGCTACCCGACCGCCCCTCAGGCTCATTGAATGGTTGATGCATGTCATCGTTTCTCAATTGCGTGGAATATTGCGTCATATAGCTGGATATAGTGCGGCATTAAAAAGCAAACAAAGGAAAGGACTTGTTGCATACGACCGTGTACATATTTCTTTTCGCCTGTACCCACGCCCGCCGCCTCCATGGTCTTGTTGTAGAGCGTCCGCCCGGAGAGCGGAAGGTCCGGGGTTCGATCCCCGGCCGCGGCATACCAAAAGACGTTAAAAGATGGTACTTTTTGTTACCCTGTCTGGCGCTCGGCATTAAGGGGCTCAAACAAGGACTGTTCGGCTCGGAGTCAGTGTACTGTGTCTGAGTGGGGTATTCATGTTAAACTGCGGCATGGTATCTCAGTGAGCTAGCACTATAAAATCGGCATCAGTCCGGACTAGTACAAGCAGCAACAAACACACACACACACACACACACGTGTGCATGCACGTCACTATATAAGTGCAATAATCTTGGACGCGACGTTAAACCCAATTTCACCTCACCTCACCGTACCCACGCCCCGTCCTGTAGTTATGCGCGTTCTTTATCCAAGCGTGACTAAGATGACAGCACATGCTGTGGGTGACGACCTACATGTCAGCCCAGGTTAGAAGGTTCTCTGACAGGTTGTTACTTATGCCAGATTCATTCCTAAATGTACTTTTCAAATGATTATCTGACTTGACAATGCTGGTCGCAAGACCGGGGCTATGTAAATCATTATTTTCTGCAGGATTTGGATATGTTTGTGTGTTGGCTGTGTCAATATGTTTATCTCTGTTTTTCATCAACCACTCAAAGATGTACCCCTTCAGGAATGGAAATCTAATATTCGTGAAAATCATAAACTAGAAGTATACAGTAATTAAACCATCTCAAAATATAGAAAACATATCTCTTCTACATAAAAAAAGCTTCAAATTCAAACAGCTGCATGAACCCTAGGGAACTGGTTGTTGTGTAGTTCCTATGAATTGAGGGGCGGTCGGGTAACCCAGTGGTTAAAGCGTTCGCTCGTCACACCGAAGACCCGGGTTCGATTCCCCACATGGGTACAATGTGTGAAGCCCATTTCTGGTGTCCCCCGCCGTGATATTACTGGAATATTGTTAAAACCATACTCACATACTCACTTCAAATTCACAAATGCACTTGGTAGATTTAGATGTTGAAGTTTACACAATTTACACAGAGACGGGCAGGTGGGAAAATATTCCAAGGGAAGAACACCTGTGTCGTTAGTATCATTCCACGGCAGATATCTCCGTTGTGGAAGACGAAAAACATTTTCTGTTTGCTTGTCCAATGTATAGCAGGTACAGAGTAAAAAATCTACAGCCATCTTACATTTACGTTTGTATCAATACTGTCCTAACAGAGAAAAGAGGGCTAGGAAAGTAGTTTTAAAAGTAGACTTTTAATATTTCATTTTTATCCAAAGGAATAATTGGATAGAAGAACATTTTGAATGTATTTTACTGAGAATGAATTTGTTTCATATGAATGATGTTTCAAACACAGCATATCACTTTAAGCCACTTGAATTTGTAAAGGTATCTATAAATTTTAACATTATGTAAAGTAATCAGGTAACTGCCGAGAGGTTAGCAGTATGTTATTTTGTTATACGCATTTGTAGACCCGTGAAGATCCGGGGTAGAATAGGTCTTCAGCAACCCATACTTGCCGTAAAAGGCCACTATGCTTGTCGTAAAAGGCGACTAACGGGATCGGGTGGTCAGGCTCGCTGACTTGGTTGATACATGTCATCGATCCCAATTGCGTGGATCGATGCTCATGATATCAATCACTGGATTGTCTGGTCCAGACTCGATTATTTTACAGACCGCCGTCATATAGCTGGAATATTGCTGAGTGCGGCGTTAAACAACAAACAAACAAACGCATTTGTAATGGCAATTACGATAATGTATTATTATTTATCATATAAACTGCTTGTACGGAGAATTATGGACCGAGATACCTACATTCTTTATAAAATTATGTTGACTGAGACGGTTCTCTTTTAGGTTCGAAATACCAGGGTGATAATGTCAATAGTCACACTGTGCGACAAATCGTTTGGTGTGCACGCGACTTCAGAAATTGCCATGACCCGATCGAGTCAAGTGGCTGAATGCCTGCTTTGCCCTCCCGCTCGTCAGTCCTGCGCGTACAATTGTCGCGAAACGACTCAGGAAGTTAGCAGTAAGGTTGCGTAGGGTTATAAACATGGTTGTGTGATCTTATATTTGGATGCATCTTAATACATTCGTCGTTGAAGTCGGGACACTGTATCGGCGAGGCAGGTAAGCGATGCTTTCACAGTTGGATCGTAACTCCACAGTTTTGATAAACTTGTGGCATTACCGACGGTTGGATAGCCCTATGATAACACTACAGACATGTAGAACTGCCACAGCCCCACATAGCGGGCCAGGTCACAACGCCAGTTCGGAGCCGGGATTACGGATTAACTGATAGTTTGACAGTAAACTGTGAGCACCAAGGGCTGATGTCGGGTTAATTGATGAGGATGTTTAGACATCATTGATGAGAACAGTTGCACGTTTATTATACACGTGGATATCTAGACGCTCATATAGTTTTTAATTTACTCGATATTTTCTCTCTTGTCATTTCACTGCTTATATACCAGTGTAAAGTATACCTACATACGTTTGTCGTCCAGTTGGTTTCAATTATGTACACATATCCCACAATGGTGGTGCAGCCTAATGTTACCGAATTACCAAGAAAAACCTATACTGCTCAACTCCTGGTAAGGATACGGTGCCAGCTTACACGCTTACGAAAGTCGGGAGACGTGTTTATGTGATTACTTTTGTTTATTTATGCAAGAAACGAAGCTTAACAAGCGTCAATTCCATGACCAAATCGCATCATATTCGTTCGACAACATCTCCAAACAACTGGTCATATTTATCACCTATTGACGAACACACACTAAGAACAAACTCGAAGAGATGTTTCAGTTTCACAACTTCCGAGGTCGGAACATCAGAGCGTGGAACATATTTCCGTTATTTATCATAGATATTACAGTGCATACGTTTTTTTACTATTTTTAAAAAGAAAAACCATCAACAAAGGAAACCAGAAAATTAAATTATTTAATTACAAATGTAAATCTTTGAAACGTAAATTCTCCCTACCTAACACACAGGGACGGTTCACCACCCCTTGTATTTGTGACTTAAGAAGTAGTTTCGTGTTTGCAAAATCTAAAAAAATATATATACAAGTATTAAAATTGTTATTTAGGGTCACGATAATTCTTTATCATGCATTTAGATATGATTATATACAAAATCACATTTAACAAAAATATTCTTGAAAACCAGTGCCGTATACTTAGCCAGCCGGGGGACAGTGGGGGTGGGGTGGGGGGGGGGGGGGGGGGGGGGGGGGGGGGGGGGGGGGGGGGGTGGGGGGGGTGGGGGGGTCAGTTGTCTCCTTGGATGTTTTTTATAGTTAACTTGAATAAGAAATGAATAATCCTCCTCGACACTGGCAACACTACATACATACATACATACATACATACATATATACATACATACAAAGAAGCATACATCAATCGCAATGTTTTGAACATAATTAGTAGTTATGTTATTATGAAATAAGTAATTAGTGTCCTGCGGTGTAAAGCTGTTAGACTAGAGAGCGTATTACAATACAACAGTATACACCGCCTCGGCCTACTAGACACTTATGGGTGAGGTGAATGGGGTTTAACATATCGTTCAAGATTATTGCACTTATGTGGCGACGTGCATGCACGTGTGTGTGTGGCCGATTGTGCACCCCCACTTTTTATTTCGAAAAAAATCTTTATTTCTGTATAAATTACCACCAAAGACAATGTATGTATGTATGTATGTATGTATGTATGTATGTATGTATGTATGCATGCATGGATGTGTGTGTGTGCGTGCGTGCGTGCGTGCGTGCGTGCGTGCATTCATGCGTGCGTGCA